GCTGAACCAGACGGCTTGTATCCTGTTAGAACTGGTATCTTGTCTCACATCTGTTTGAGCCTTTGTTCCCTGCAATGTTATGTGTGTGTACAGTCACACTTTGTTCACTGAGCTTTTCTCATTTAGACTGTTTAGACACTCCATTTAAAGATTGCTCCTTTTCTGCAGAAAATAAATTTGTAATAACTTTCAGAGTTGATGTTGTTTTTATTTTACACTCACTGAGCTTTTGTAGTGGTTTAAGTTACATGTTAATATGGATTATGTAATAGAATAGAGTGTTTGTGTGCTTACTTTTAAGTTCATGTGAGCTGAGCAATGAGCTTATATAATTTGGCCAAGCTGTTTCCTGTTTTTGGGTACATCTTAGGGTGTTGTCTCCTAAAACTGGAGACAGGAAGCTAAGTTTGGTAATTGACGTAACAGCCAAAGAAAGCTGTGGATAAAAAAAGTAAGGCTGAAGGATGGAGGGGGAAGAAGAATGCTACTGTGATAGTGAAGTGTATGCATTTTTGAACCCAGGCCTGGATGGGGGGGGGGATTCTGGACTGACTTGACCCCTGACCAAGACTGACTTACTCTGTGACAATTTTCTTGTTTAATACTTTATCTATTCCATTGCAGGAGGAGTGATTCTGTTTTCTGTTCCCTAACTTTGTGGAGGCCAGTTAAGGGCAGTGGACCTGAGCTGTGACAATAAAAAATATGCAATACTTTAGAAGAATATGACTTTGCACACCAAATAAGGTATTAACTGCAAACTGCGGCATCTGGTTGGATGAGAGGACAAAGACTACTGACCAGAATCCTTTAAAAACCCAGGCAAAAAGAAGAACACAGAGTTCTCTTATCGCTGCGGCCGGAGGCTTTGTCCAGTTGACCGTCTGACTTCCAGAAGACCGAGGACTGTGGAGAGGCAGTCCGGGAAGAGCACCCTGATGGGGGTGCTCCCCCGCAGGCCTGACCTGCGAGGGCGAGATGGATGTCGACATGGGAGAGAGAGCCCCTTTCTGTGGGTGTTCCCCCACAGGCACCTGGCCTGTGAGGGTGAAATGGATGTCAACGTGGGATGATGGAACTGTTGCAGAGCCTCACAGTTCAGCAAGAAAAATGATTTCCTGCTTAAAAGATGATTGATGAAGAAATGAAGAATTTTAACAGAATGCCACAAGCCACACGGCCTGGTGGGGAAAGAAGGCTTGAAAAGAAGCTGTTTTATACATGTTTTATACATTTATGTTTCTCAGAAGAAAGAAGATTTGACCAAGAAGAACATTGTCTCTCTGAAAATTTCCTATAATTCTCAGTCAAAATTGAACCAGAAGAGAATGAGGTTGTCCTAATGTGTTTTAATTTTTCAAATTATTAAGTTTTTCCTTGTGAATGCTTGAATCCTGGCCAACAGGAAAAAGAAGAACAAACGATTGCCCAATCTCCCATCGCCACCCCACCCAGAGCCAGCTGAGGACTGGTGACGTGAGCTAATCTTTAACTTTTATTCAGATCAAGAGCTTAGCTCAACCATAATAATTTTAATCAGTATTTTAATCAAAAAATTTTTGAGTGATATTTAGAGATAGCATTTGTTGATTATTTAGGTTGTAAGCCAATCAAGACAATTATTGATGATTTTAAGGTTTATATTTTAGTGCTCACTGCTTTGCTTAACTCTTTTAAGCTTCTATATAAAATTCCTGAAAATGTTAATACTCTCTGTGGTTATTGAGTCAAGTTTTGATGTTATTGACAGTCCTATGATTTTAGTGGGTTTACACTTTTAAGTGGTAATGATTAATTCCTAGTGAGAGTTTGGGGTTACACAACAATTCAGTGTTGACAGTAGACCAACTGAACTGCTAAAATGATTTTTAGACAGTTATATCAGAAAATCTTTTATACTAAATATCCAGCTGTTTACTTATTACATAATATACAATATTCTTTAAATATCCTATCCTTAATAACATCTTATGTCAACTAAATACTGTGCAAAACAAATATGGTCTTAAGTGTCCAGTGACACAGCTTTCATTGTTTATTTCAGACAAAATGTAACACTTCCTAAAAGAGCCAGAGTATACTGGTTTATAAAAATTTCTCAGTACAGTAACATCTGAGGGTTTAAGTAGGTAGCTGCCATAATAACAGGTTATTGTTATTTGGGAGGTTTTGGGGTTTTATCCTGAATTAATAACATGTAAGAGGGAGGCCTTCAGGGAACTCTGTTCGCAGGTTCATGGTAGTCAATTACTGAGTGAATATCTCCATCATAAAACCTCAAGCAGTGTTTGGAGCTTTAATATGTTTCAAATATGCCACCTTAGTGTGAGAGGTTAAGCTTTATTCCTATGTCCAGGGGTTAGCATATCGTGGCCTTCAAACACCATCCCTTCAGTCAATACTAGAAAATACCACTGAAAGTACATTTACATAACTACTGTATTCGTACCAGTATTTGTAAGGATGAAATATTGTATTGTACTTTTCATTGCACTAACAGCTGTAGTTATTTTTCATAATAAAATGCAATGTTAGCTTCCTCTTGACCAGCTATGATCCAGTAATATAATCCAGCATTGTGAAAGTGAGTACTCTTACTCACACTTTAATACTAGATGGTGGACACAGTGGAGCATTTAGCAGCTAGTAGAGACCAAAATCAGCGCTAAAAGAAGAGTAAACACTGGTGTTTGATTCATCAAGTGGACACAGACATGACCCCAACTGAATGTTGCTTCATCACTGCTGGATGTGGAAATAAGGACATGCTTGTTCACCATATTAACTTAAAATGTGATGTTACATCAGTGTTGTGTTCAGTGTGTTTCTGCTGAAAACCAGTGAATGAAAAGAGCAGTCAGTGCAGGTTTTAGTAGTAGTACCGATGTCTTATCATTTAATTGTTTGTGTGCACAAGTGGCATTTAAGGAACAATGTTAAATTATAAAACAGTAGCACGGCTAGAGAAGAGATACAAAGTTAGAAAACATACTCAGTGACACAGGAGTGTCTCTCATTAGCTGCCATGAGCTGCTCGTCACACCAGACCATCTATATATATGGTAAAACAATGCATTATATTTTATTTTATATTTTTATGTTAAATAATCTTTAAAGTAACCAGCAACTACGGCTGCAAAATATATCAGCTGACGTTTGTAACAAATCAACAAAGTCCAAACTGATGTTTTCAGTTTAAAGAAATTACTTCCTGTTAAATACAGCAGGAAAAAAAACATTGGTTAATTTTGTTGTGATGCCTTCTGAGATGATTTGTTTCCTCTCTTTGTCAGATTTGACATTTCTTCATGAGAGCTGTAAGACGTTTCATGGCGATCTTGTCAACTTCGAGAAGATGGTGAGTTATTTCTTAAACACATCTCCTTCTTCTCCCTCATGTAAAAATTCAGAATTTGAAACTGAAATTTGAATTTGACATTCAGATTTTGAATGCAATATGTAAATGTTGTTCATTTTGAACACAAGATGTCTCCTGCTTTAAAGCTGCCAACTTAACTAACTTCTTCCTCTAATTTTCCACTGTTAAGGGTGAAATGACAAACGCAAGCAGTATCCCCTCCTGTCCTCTTGTCCCCTCCTGCCCTCTCTCTGAAACTACATCATACAGTATGTGGTCATGACAGCAGTAATAACCGGCTCCAGAACTAATGTATATGTAATATAGAGCCTGTGGGGGGTGTTGGTACAGCAGGAAGAAAACAGACAATTTTTTACTTGATTTATCTGAAGTTTTGCTAAATCTTAGTTAATGCGGCTTTAAGTTTCATACTGGTCCACGATTGGCTCTGGTCTAGCTGTGATGTCATAAATGTCGCGGGTACGTTCAGGTGTTCCACTGACTTTTCTCCCTTCAGCTGATAAATGTGAGACTCTGCAGTAAAGGGGGTAAAGCCAGACCAGACTTGTTGCATAAATAAGAAATAAACCAGTCTCAACAAACAACAACCCAACAGAATCAGACTGGAACAGGAAGTTTGAAGCTCATCTCTTCCTCTCTTGTCCCCTTAACCACCACATTATACACTTTTTCTCCTTTTCATCTTTGTCTTATCCCTCCTTCTTCTGCAGCATAAAGTGGCAGAGATGGTGAGGACCATCAGACGATACAGGAGCACTCAGCTAGGTAACGAGCACACACACGTGCACTCTGTGTGAATGAATCTCTCTGGTCAGGTCAGGTCTCAAGGTGAACTCTATAACATTATGCAGAAGTTTTACCTGTTCTTGTGTTGACATGCTGCTGCTGTGACCTTTGACCTTGCTCTGTACATGCAGACCTTCTGTAGAAACCCTCTTCAGTATTGTTTCAGGTTTTATACGTTTTAATTAACTGACTTTTGCAGTGGTCACACATTCTGCTGTAGAGTTCTCCCTAATGAAGTTAAAAAGTAATTATTAATCAAAGGCAGTGAATTAATTAATTACCTTTATCAGTAGTACCTTATCAAATAATATAAAACAGCTGCTATGCCTGAGTTTTTGAATACATTGAGAATTTCTAAGTAATATTTTTAGCATACAGTCAAAATCAGGTTTGGCCAGAGATGGAGGAAAAGGGGAGACAGATGCCAGCTTCATTTCATTGAATGTTCATTTAAGACAAGATGTGAGGTCCAAGAATGCAGGTAATTATGTGGTATAACAGTTTTTTGACCACATCTCCTGGGCCTTCCTTAGAAATTTGACCTTGCTACAGCTCTGATCAGTGTTGGTATTTTTGTTGCAATGCGTTCTGTCATAAAGTAAAGTGTGTGTGTGTGTGTGTGTTTGTGTGCGGCTGCTGTGTCAGAAGCTAAAAGCCACACGGAGCTTCACTTTATGTTGAGCGTTGTCTCCATCTTGTGGTGACAGTTCGACACTGCACTGCTCTTTGCCATAACAGCAAAACATGGATTTAATATCCCTAACATTAGTGGTTTCCTTCTTCCTTTAGCCATGGATACAGAGATGTCCCCCTCCCACCTGCAGACGAAGGCCTATGTCCGCCAGTTACAGGTGATCGACAACCAGAACCTGCTGTTTGACATGTCCTGCAAACTGGAGCCCAAAGACACATAAAGAGATGGACAGGGGGAAGAGAAGGTGACAAAAAAGAAACTGGGATGGGGAGAAGAGGAGTAGGAGGAGGAGGATGACAATGTTCACAATGTTCAAAAGTCTTGTGTTAAGAAACAAAAAAGCCAAGAACCAAAGGCAAGATTTAAGTAGAAAGAGAGAGAAAGAAGTGATGGAAGGATTCTCATGCTGGAACTGGAAACCATCTCCTCCTCCTCCTCCTCCTTGTCCACCTCTTCACCTACTTGCAACATAAAAACAAAAAAAAAGATTTTTGATCAACAAGGAGAAGAAATTTCACTCACTCTACTACTTCTCCATCCATGTCTCTGACTGCTTGTTTAGGTTCTTTCTTTCCTTATCTCAGCCTCCTCCTCCTCTTCCTTCCCCATCCCTCCATCAACAGCTGCCCAGTCAAAACACTGCCAGAATCCCTGAAAACCACTAATGCTAAACAGACACATGGCCCAAATCACATAACATGAAATACGGATGTCTTTTCTGTTCATAATTCATTCAGAGTTTGTGGCTAAACCTCTAGATTATCTAGCAACAGATCGTCCGCTGGATTTTTCACTCCAAAATCCAGCTAGTTATCAGCATGGAACACTGTTGAAACATCTGTAAACATCTGTGGGGATTGTTCTGGAACCTTTGGCGAAGAAAGACTCAGCAGCATTAACATGGCATTCAAGAAGCTCCTCAGTCTGTCAATGGCAAATCGTCTACTGTAAGTTTGAGATACATTGCTGCTTTGAAATCTCTGCAAACATCAGACACAGGAGAACAGTGAAGAAGAAGAAATAAAACCATGTTGTCGTCATGTTGTTGGACATCTAAGAACTTAAAGGGACCACCAGACTCCCTACTGTTTTTGTTCCCCCTCCTGAGGCAGTTGACCAATCAGACTAGAGACAGTCTGGCAGCTGCCAAACCCTCCACAAAACAGCCTCCATGATGAATGAGTACAGTGAAAATTATACATTATTGGCCTGAATATTTTAAGTGGGAATTACATCTAAGGAGCGAGTGTTGTATTATATTCAAACACTAGACAATTACATATACACTACAACAGATTCTGTTCTTGAACAGGGACCATCCCGCTGTAACAGCAGTGCTTACAGAGTATTGCATTGTGGGGTGTAGAGCTGCAGTGATTATTCAGTGTGCATCACGCGATGCTGCCGTGCCAAGTGTGGACACCGGGGCAAAATCACCTCATAGATCAGCACCGTTTCTGGAGGACCGGAGAAAACAAGTCAAAGCGCCTCCTGATGTCTTTACCACAGAAACAGACTGAATCATTTGTCAGACAGACAAAAATGACCAATGTGAGGAGCTCAATAACAAAAGCAGCCAGTGGAAAATCAGAGGAAACCACTGAGACCACTTCTACAGTTTGACGGAATAAAATGAGACTGATGGACAAGCTGCACAGATGCGGGGTTTATGTTCTGCTTTAACACAAGTATTGAATTTTCCACTTGGGCCTTCTTGTTGGATGAACACTGTATCTGGCTACTTACTTTTTCAGCACTTTGAAAATGTTGCATATCTTCATAAAATCATTTTCTAAAAGTAGCTGATGGAAAAGAGTGGTAATATTATAGTCATGGTCACTGTGCAGCAGTGATTTTGTTCCCCAGGATCTTGTTTTTGAAGAACATGCGGACACAGGACACTGAAACTCTGCTGGAACAAAGTGACGTGAAACAACTCATCATGACACTAAACTCGTTTTCAAGCAGGTGGAACCAGTAAAATGTAGATACTACTACTTTGAAAAGTCTAAAGTGCGACTCAGAGTTTGCACCTGGGTGTCCAGCACGCAGAAATCTGTCATCTGGATTTCATAACTGAATATATTTTTCCATCAAAATTCTGAACAAAGGATCATGTTGTGGCTCTGTCACCATAATGAACTCGCAGTCCTGGTTGACTGTGTCCACGGTTTACATCAGTGTTAGCACTGTTAGGCTGACCTCTGATTTGTGGTTTGTATCAGCTGCCATATTTCACACAATCAGGAACACATTTCCTCCTGGATTTAACCTAAATAGTATCTTTGACAGACTTTCAGACACTGTGGGATGGTGCGTTAATGGACTCTGATCAGGATATTGGACTTTTTCTCTCTGGATGAGACCGTGTAGATGCTGGTTTTCTACTAAATTTGGTCTTAATCTCAGTTTGAAGACATTAACAAGCTCTTCAGTCTTTTCTGCATTTTGTTTCAGGACTTTAATGATGAATGTCATCATTAAACATCTCTCACAGTGTTTTATGATCCAAGAGGAATGTTGGAAACTTCATGTCACACTCAATTTAAAGGACCACATCACAGCTTTTTGCATGTTTTACCCAGTTTAGTACAAATCATGCACGTGCTGCATCAGCACTGGCTTCTCCAAAGCAGACCGCAGTGTCTAGAATGTGGTTTAGTTCCTCTGTGACGGTTCATTTCTCTAATATTCAACTTGCGTAGTGTGTAAAACTTGCACCCGGCCTGATATTATAATCAGGCCGGCTGATATTGCACCCGATTATGATATTATAATCACTCATATGCATGAAAATACATATGAGTGATTATGTTGATCTCTGGCTTTTATTTATTATAAACCACTTCGGTCTGTTTTGGGAAATGGTCAGTGCTCCATGATGTGTGTGTGTGTGTGTGTGTGTGTGTGTGTGTGCGTGTGTGTATGTGTGTGTGTGTGTGTGTGTGTG